CAGGTAGCAGACTTTTTTGTCCACTTGTTTGACGAAGTGGGTCTGTCCTACGCAGCTATTGTTGGCTACAGGTCAGCCTTATCCCCCGCCATAGAAAACTCTTTGGGGTCAAGTCTAGCTGATTGTCCCATTATTAGGAGACTGTTTACTGCTTTCCATAATCAGAGGCCCAGGGCCCATTCAAGGGAACCGCCCAATTGGGACCTGTCGGTTGTTTAATCAGCCCTAAGCAGACCTCCTTTTGATCCCCTTGTTTCAGCACCACTCAAGTTTTTGACGTGGAAAACAGTCTTCCTACTGGCCCTCGCTCAGGTAGGCGCCGGTCAGAGCTAGGCGCACTGTCCTTCGCGGACAGTTGTGTCGCCTTTATGGACGATCAAGTTGTACTAAAGACACAAATCGGGTTTCTCGCCAAGAACCAAATCCCAGGACACGATCCTCAACCGATCGTCATCCCCCGGCTGTCAAATATTGTCGGTCCGGAGGATCAGGAGGAATTGCTTCTCTGGGAAATCACTTCATGATGAGTTGTACCCACATAGAGTACATATTCATTCACCTGTTTGCTGATGTTCCTTGTACTACTTTATAATCAAATAACGGGGACTGTGACATTCATGTCTTGTTTCTTTTTATCATGCTGAAGTCTGTGTGTTAATAGTGTTGATATATGTAACAAGTTTGTATCATTTGTTTTCAACACCAAATAAATACATGACTAAATCTGTTGCCTTCGTGTTTTATTGTATATATTTTCAGAAATGGACGTTTAGAGAAAGACGAAATTTCTTCAGCATGTAATACATTGCCATTACCATTACCACAATACAAAGTACAAGATATATTAAATGAATTGGAGCAGGATTCTAATAGTACTGTGAAATATGAGGATTTTATCAAAAAATATGGCAGTGAGTTTTTATTATATAATTCTTTTGAAGGGCAGACTAGTTTTGCTGTTAATTTTAAATGTCAGAGTTTCAATCTGTACAGTTGCCATCACTAGTGGGTTTCAATCTGTACAGTTACCATCACTAGTGGGTTTCAATCTGTACAGTTGCCATCACTAGTGGGTTTCAATCTGTACAGTTGCCATCACTAGTGGGTTTCAATCTGTACAGTTGCCATCACTAGTGGGTTTCAATCTGTACAGTTACCATCACTAGTGGGTTTCAATCTGTACAGTTGTCATCACTACTGGGTTTCAATCTGTACAGTTACCATCACTAGTGGATTTCAATCTGTACAGTTGCCATCACTAGTGGGTTTCGATCTGTACAATTGCCATCACGAGTGGGTTTCAATCTGTACAGTTGCTATCACTAGTGGGTTTCAATCTGTACAATTGCCATCACTAGTGGGTTTCAATCTGTACAGTTGCCATCACTAGTGGGTTTCAATCTGTACAGTTACCATCACTAGTGGATTTCAATCTGTACAGTTACCATCACTAGTGGATTTCAATCTGTACAATTGCCATCACTAGTGGGTTTCAATCTGTACAGTTGCCATCACTAGTGGGTTTCAATCTGTACAGTTACCATCACTAGTGGGTTTTAATCTGTACGGTTGTCTTCACTAGTGGATTTCAATCTGTACAGTTACCATCACTAGTGGATTTCAATCTGTACAGTTACCATCACTAGTGGGTTTCAATCTGTACAGTTACCATCACTAGTGGGTT